CATTGAACTCCCATCTACTAAACTAAGTGCAAAAAAAACGAAAAAAAAAATTCACTGTGATTTTGAATTTCTCGCACCTGATTTATAAAAAAAATATTTTAATTTTGACTACAACATATATATATTACATAGAATAGCAATACAAAAGAAATTACTTAGAATTTAAAATATCTATATTTTCAATAGATTAACATTAGAAAATTATTCTAATAATTAATTTTAAAAAAATTTCTTTTCGTAAATATTTTAATTTGATTAAGGTTTTGCAGAATTTTGATGAAATTATTTTGAAAGAAATAAAAATAAATATTTTACTTTTATTAAGATTAAGGAAATAAATTTTTCATAAAACTGCAATTAAAATTATTGCGAGAAAAAACATTGAAAGAATTGATTAAACTTGAGCACTATATCCATATTTAACGTAATGAGCTTTAATTTAAAAAAAAGTGAGATTAAAATTTTAAGAAATTATATAGAAAATAATCTTTGAATTAAACTACCTGAAAAATATGTCAATAAAAATTATGACTCGATATGATATTATAGTCATGGTCCTTTTTTGATAAAATATATAGAGTACAAGTGGCCATGACCGCGATTAAAAAGTTGCTTTTAAAAAATCGTATATATTCAAGCGCTCGTATGCCTATATGTATATATAATGGATGTCTCATAATAAATGGTTCACTTTTGTATCTCATTTATTATAGTGTACTCGTTATATATGGGCACGGCCAAGCGTGACGGAATTTCATTTTTTCAACTTGTGAGACATGTATCTCCTCAATAACAAGAGAAATGTTTCTGAAATTTTCACCATATATGAAGATTAACTAGCTCTACTAGCAGTAAAAATTTCACTGACTTATGACGAACCATAACGGAGTTATATGAAAAACATCGTTCGTTATGGAATTTCAAAAATGGACAAAATTTTGAAGGAGGATTCATATTTCAACATTTTTCTCCGAAACTAAGTGACACATAAATGAACATTTTATACATAGATTGTTCAGCTTTTCACGAGCTCTTAGAATATCGTGTCGTTTTCTCTGTAAAACATTTCCGTTAAATAAGATGACTTAAAAGATTGAGCGTTACGGAATTTCGCCGTTTTTCTTTTTTTCTGTGAGGGACAATTTAGTGACATTTTTATAATAATTTTAACTATGAAATCTAACTTTTTTCATTCTGTAACGATTAAGAGTATTGTTTTCTATTAATCGATTAGTTCATTTTCATGTTTGTCTCCAAATTTCATAGAAAATTTCATTCATTATTTTGACAAAAATGAAAATTTTCAAAATAAAAAAAGCGAAATTTCGTGATTATTCGTGTTTTTAAACTCGTAGGAACGGAAAATGATATTTGTTTTATATGTCATCTGAGTAATTCAGAATGCCCAACAAACTTAATAATATTTCAAGATCATAATTTTTGTTAAAAAATTTTTTTCTATATATTACTGGTTTTTAACCTTCACCAGCGAAGGGGACCGTTAGCTGGCCGTGCCCATATATAAACTTCTTCATAGAATAGAAGACCATCTTATTCAAAATTAAGACAAAATAGATAATTTCAACAGCTAGCTAAATACATAAGTTAATTCCTTAGTTCTTATTATCTAATTAAAGCTTAGTTTAAGTATCCACTTTACTTTATGTTGCATATATATTTGCTATTAATAGGCATTGTTAATATAAAATAATTTTTGAGAGTAGAAATTATAAATATGTGATAACTCAGTTCTATTACGTTTGTTATACTTCTAACAAATCATATATAGTTTACAAAAAAAATCATAGAAATTTTTATTAAACTTAACAACATTATAATCATCTAAAAACTTACAACCAATTTCATATTCTAGATTACTCTCATAGATACTTCTATAGCTAGCTATCCGACAATTTCACAAATCTACGAAACTTATAAATTTTTAAAGACTTTTTGTGCTTGTACACTACTAATCAAACACTATCTATAGCATGAAAAATATTAATCACATTAGAAATTCATCTATAGATTTTTCTAATTTACAAAACACAATAGAAGTCCAATGTGAAGAGATTTATAAATTATATTTGATTTATCAAATAACAAAAATAATTCTAATATTTTCTAATAAAAAACAAAACAAAACTCATAATATCATTAAATTATAATCATATTTGTACAGATCAAATATATATTTTCAATTAAAAATTAAATTAATCTTAGATTTTATTTTATATAATAATATTTATTTTAGATATAAAAATCTATTATGTTAATTCGGAAAATGAATATTTAAACAAGAATAATAATGAACAACTTCATCAAAAACTCCTTCGTGCTGGTTATTTTATGTCAAATCAACTATGGAATATGTTTGAATCATGTTTTTTTGATTTATCAGATGCTGCAGCAGCCAGCATTGATCCATGTTATCGATTATTTACGTTAAAATTTGTTGACTTACTTGATGATGCTGGATAGTATTGAAAAAACAAATGGTACAAAAACATCAGTACATTTTGGACAATTTTCAACAGATCATGCAATTGCAGCAGCTCGCATGAGACCTGAACATCGAATCAAGATTTTATAGACCTAATAGTTTATTATATCATTTTAATTTACATGATCCAAATGTATCATCAGATGCTGCTTGTTCATCTTCTTGAGAAACTTTACATATGGCTGTGCAATGTCTCCGTACAAATGAAGCTGATATGGCTGTATGTGGTGGTGTTAATGGATTCTTACACCAGAAAGTTTTCTACAACATTCATTTATTGGTGCACAATCACCTGGTGGAAGAAGTCGATCATTTAGTGTTGATGCTAATAGTTATGCCACAGGTAAAGAATTCAGTTGATTAGTCTTTTTTTTATTTAGAAATACATTTCAATTTAAATATTGTGTCTAGAT